GGTGTTTTTTGCTTCCTCATATTCCAAATCATTGATTTGATTTTTGGAATCCTCTACACTACTTTTGTATCCCTGTAAATTCTTCATTATTTCAGTTAGTGTATGCTTATTTTCTAAATGGTCCTTTTTCATGTCTTTGGTATTCTCACTAAGATCCTTGAAAATCTCACTAAGTCCCTAAACACTCTCATTAATTCCTTTATAGCTCTCATTAAGATCCTTGAGTAACCTTATAAGTATTATTTTGAACTCTGTATCCAGTAGTTTGCTTGCTTCCATTTCTTTCATTTGTAGTATATTTATTTGTCTCCACATTTTGGCTGCTTCCCTGTGTTTGTTCCTATGTATTAAGTAGAGCTATTAAGTCTCCTGGAATTGGTAGAGTGCCTTGTGTATTAGGTGTCCTGTAGGACCCCGTGGCTCATTCTCCCCAGTCACCTGAGCTGGGCACTCTATGTGGGCCCCTGTGTGGGCTGTGTGCACAGTCTTGTTGTAGTTGAACCTTGATTACTGTTGGCTTCACTGGAAGGAATTTACCTCCAAGCCACTTAGCTGTGAGGACCAGCAGTGTCTACAATGGAAGAGCTGCTGTGCAGGAGACACCCCTATGGAGCAGGACTTGCTTCAGTGGGTTTTTGTGCTCACTTAGTCTGCCCTTCAGTGTGTCACTTGTGGATGTTTAGAGTTGTAATCTGGTATGGTCTGAAGTTGTTCACCGAGTGCACTGGCTTTGGGGCCTCCCAGGAGGTGCAAAGTCAGCCACTGCCTGGAGCCACCTGGCAAGAGCTACAGAGAGAGATCTGCAGATAGCTGCTACTTGTTTTGGGCTAGGACGTGCCAGACGAGGCCCAGCTATGAAGCAAGGCAGGCTAGTGCTAGTGCCGGGTCTCAGGCCTTTTATTGATAGTTTTGACACCAGCTGCTGCTTATTTGAGAGATTTTAGCAAAGTCTGAAGCCTGAGCCAGGTCAGGCCATTCATATGGTAAAGCAGCTGCATACAGTTTGGGTGGGGCTGAAAATTGGATGGGGCAGGGTCTCAGGGATTCACTAGGCCTGAGTGAATAGTGTGGGCCAAGCTGATGGAAACTCAGATATAGCTGCCAGTCAGCTCTGCTGTGGGGTGAGGTCCCAGCACAGGAACAATGACCTCTGCGAGTACCCCTATCTGGGAGAAAGTCACCCCCAAGTTCCTGCCCTGGTGCCAGATAGTCCAGTTCCTCTCCATATGTCCCTGGATTCCCCAAAAGCAGCCGTCCGGCACTGGAGCTCAGAGGAAGTAGGATGGTGTACTAGTAAGTTTGTGCAAGGGCCCTTTAAGGGGAACACCTGGGACTCCAGCAGTTTTCATGTCACTCAACCACAGTCCCCGCTGGTTTTTACAGTCCAAAGTTACAGGGACTTCTCTTCCAAGCTCTGGAACCCTGGCCTAGTGTTCTGGTGTGGGGCTGGGACCCCTTGCTTCTCACGGGAGGCCTTGAAGATATCCCTTCAGATTAATAAAATGCCACACATGGGTACTGGATCAGCCCGTTTTGTGCCTCCGCCCCTCCTACCAGTCTCGATGTGCTTTCTTCCTTTTATTTTTTTAAATATATTTTTATTGATTTCGGAGAGGAAGGAAGAGGGAGAGAAATAGAAACATTAATGATGAGAGAGAATCATTGATCGGCTGCCTCCTGCACACCCTGTACTGGAGATCAGGCCCTCAACCCAGGCATGTGCCCTTGACTGGAATTGAACCCGGGACTCTTCAGTCCACAGGCTGATGCTCTATTCACTGAGTCAAACCAACTAGGGCATGTGCTTTCTTCTTTACTTTCTCTAGTTGTCGGACTTCCATTCAGCCAGATTTCAGGTGGTTCTGAATGATGGTTGTTCTATATTTCAGTTGTAATTTTTATGTGGTGTGGGAGGTGGCGAGTACAGGCATTTACCTGTGCCACTATCTTGGTTCCTAACCCAAGATCTTATGTCTATGAGCCTTTCTTCAGATGAGCCTTTTTCAGATGAAAAATTGGGTCCTAACTGTACAACTCAGTGAATGAGAAGTGATTTAAGGTACATTCATCTGAAGGAATGTTAAACACATACTTACAAGAGCTATTATCATGGGAAAGTGCTTACAAAATAGTGTTGGTGAATGAAAAAAAGCAGGGTATAGAATTATATATACACTAGTTAGAGCTACATTGAAATAGTAATTTGAAATGAAAACAAAAACGAGATACTGGTTTTCACCAAAAGAATTGCAGTGACCAACAAAAGGAAACAGTGCTGCCTAGGGTGTGTGAGACCAGCGCACCACCCACAGCGGGATTGTGGGCTGGGGTAGCCATCTTGGTAAGCATTTTGGCACTATGTATCATGAGCCCTTTAGAGTGAAATGTTTTATTCTTATAATCTCAGTTTTAAGGATCTTTCCCTGAGAAGTTAAAAAGAGAAAAACAGAGATAAAGATTTTTTCTAATTATAGTGTTATTTATAATTAAAATTACAGTATATTGATGTTCAATAAGGAAATGGTTATAATGGACTGTCATTAAATGTGTTTTTATTTATTTATTTATTTATTTATTTATTTATTTATTTATTTATTTATTGGTGTTAATCCTCAGCTGAGAATATTTTTTCCATTGATTTTTATTTCTCCCTACCGGGGTTGTGCCTGCACCCAAGGTACATGCCCTTGACTGGAATCAAACCCGGGACCCTTCAGTCCGCAGGCCGATTCTCTGTCCACTAAGCCAACCCAGTCAGGGCTTTCCATTGATTTTTAGAGAGAATGGAAAGGAAGGAGGGAAGGAGAGAGAGAGAGAGAAAAATCTATGTGAGAGAGACATATTGATAGATTGCCTCCGGCGTGCACCCAACCTAGGGCCAGGGATTGAACCTACAACCCAGACAGGTGTTCTTGACCTGAAATCGACCCCGTGACACTCTGGTGTTTGGTTCAGTGCTCTAACGAGTGAACACACCAGCCAGGGCAAATGTCATTTTTTTTAATAATGTGGAAAATGCTTAAGAGGCAGTATAAAGTAAAAAAGAAAACAAAAACTATAACAGTGATAGTAATAATAAAAAGGAACTCTTAATAGCATGTATTATGTGCCAGGTATTATTCAAATACTTTACATATTAATCCTCATAACAGACTTGTGAGATAGGTACTATTTATTATCTCTATGTTGTAGATGAGGAAAGTGGGGCACAGAGAGGTTCAGTAACTTGCCCAAAGCCTCACAGCTCATGAGAGAGCAGTGATGTGATTGAAGTCCAGCATATTAGTGGCAGCATCCATGTTCCCAACCCCAACATTGATTCTATCATAGCCTTTCAAGATTTGGAGCACCTTAATGCATGATCCAGTTACAGTTGTTTGTATACAGTATCTTTTTTAAATAGGACGAAAGGAAGAGCAAATACATTAAGGTATTGAGAAGGGTCATTTCTGGTTTAGAAGATTATGGGAAATCATATTATATTTTTATCCATTTTCCCGATGTTAAGCAATGATCTTTTAATAGAGAAAAAAATAATAAAGGATTTTAAAACATGTGTTAAGAGGAAGAACAAATAGGAGATGGATTGACTCCATGAAAGAAGTCATAGGCCTGCGTGTGCCTGGACAGGACAGTATGGATGGACAGAGCCAAGTCAATGGCATGTAACACATATTTTAAAAAAGAAAATAGCCCTGGCCAGTGTTTTCAGTGGTTAGAGCATCAGTGCAACCAGTCAATGTTTCTCACATTGATGTCTCTCTCTCTCTCTTCCCCCTCCCTCCCTCCTTCTCTCTCTCTCTCTCTCTCTCTCTGAAAAGAAAACAATGGAAAAAATATCCTCCAGAGAGGATTAACAAAAGAATAATAATAAAAAAAGAAAATAGACTGAAAAGTTAATAGTGATTGTGATAATTTTTTCATTTTCTAAAAGTGGTATTTTCTATTATATAGATACTAGAGGCCCAGTGCACAAATTCGTGCATGGTGGGGTCCCTCGGCCTGGCTGGTGATCAGAGCTGATCAGGGCTGTCTCGCCCAGTCCCAGTCAGGGTGATCAGGGCCAGTCAGCCAGGGGGAGGGACCGAGGGAGGTTGGCCAGACCCAGGAGGTTGGCTGTGGGAGTACATTGACCACCAGGGGGCAGCTCCTGCATTGAGTGTCTCCGCCCCCCCCCCCCCGTGTTGAGCATCTGCCCCTGGTGGTCAGTGCATGTCATAGCAACTGGTTGATCTGTTGTTTGGTCGCTTAGGCTTTTAAATATATAGATGTTACTCATATAAATTTTTAAAAGTAAATACCTGATTACAAGCTAGCCATCCTGGTAATTCTGGAAGCTTGTGGCTCAGGTTGTTTTTTGCAGGAGAGGAGGATGTTGGCTGGGCTTCAGTCTCTTACCAGCATGCCAAGGAGGCCCCATGGCCAAGGAGCACAGGGGGAAACCACTGGCCTTGGTTCTCTGGAGGGCGGAGCCTATGGTTACTGTCAGCTCCTCAGTTTTCAGATTTCTTCCCTATCTTCTGCATGAGCATTTGTACAGTATCTTCTTTTTGTTCTTTTTTTTTTGTTGTTGCTAATCCTCAGCCGAGGATATTTTTCCATTGATATTTTTAGAGAGAGTGAAAGGGACGGGGAGAGAGAGAGAAAAACATCTGTGTGAGAAAGACACATTGTTCGGTTGCCTTCCGCATGTGCCCCGACCAGGGCCAGGGATCTAGCCTGCAACTGAGGTATGTCCAAGCCTGGAATCGAACCTGGAACCCGTCAGTCTGCAGGCTGAGGCTCTATCCACTGAGCCAAACCAGCTATGGCTGTACAGTATTTTAAGCATATAAAGTGTGTTTGCATTACTCTTATAAGAAAATGTATCTATAATACATGTTTTGAAAATGTTGACAAACATTACTTTTATTTCCTTCTGCATTTTCTCAAAACTTAGAAGATTAGAAACCTGTTGTTGTTTCCCGGGTGTCCTGATCTTTTTCTGTGTGCCTCCGCAGGAAGGAAGCGGGAGTGGTTTAAGGTGGAAGAGGCCATCAAAGTGCTGCAGTACCACAAGCCCGTGCAGGCATCATATTTTGAGACGTTGAGGCAAGGCTACTCCGCCAACAACGGCACCCCGGTCATGGCCATCAGATGACTGAAGACCTGGAAGAGGGTGGAATTGGAAACCAGACTGAGTGCAGACCTTCCCTCTCTCCCTTCTCTCCTCCCTCTCCTCACAGGCCTCCTCTCTCAAATAAGGCATGGCGGCAGAGAAAGGGCTCGGTGATGATGTTGCTGTTTGGTGTTATGTGATGGGCTTTTCTTCTCAGTTGGGGGGTGATGTGTAAGTCCTTCTGTGCATGAGCTGCCTCCCTGTTCACACCCTGCGTTCTCAGAGGCAAGCAGCTATCCTCTGCCTCGGGTTCTGAGGGTTCCGTCTGTCGCATCCTGGCCCTGGCCAGGCTCTCTTCTTCGATTTTTAAATTTTTTTAAATTAAAAGATACCAATACGAGATGAAATTTTTCAAGAATGTGCTCGTAATGTGCTCTTCTGCCCAGTGGTTGGTCCCTTTCACTACAGGGTACATTTATCTACACATTATATACTGGGCATATAATATGTAAATAAGTGACTTTTAGAAGAGGAATTTAACTGTTTAAATGTTTCAAGATTTTGTTTTGTTTTTTAATTTGGGGCGTTCTGAAACAGCCTCACAATTTGTTTTCTTTTAATGTTAGTGACTAGACCAGTTCCCTGCCCCTCCTCTTCCCCAGTCACCACTGCAGTGAGCGGGCCGGGGGAGCACAGCCACGTCGCAGCACCCGGATGCATGGCCTTTCTCCTCGCAGCTGTTCCGGGCCCGGGAGGAACCGGGAAGAAACCTCGTTCCTTTTTAGTACCAAGCCAGGAGCAAATGGCCTCCGCTCAGATCCAGGAAGCAGTGACAGAAATGGAATTCCTCCCTGCGTGTTGACAATAGGGGTTTGAACTGGGTTCTTGGGATTACTTTCCAAAAACTGGAGCGTCGGGCCCCGTTCCTGTCCTGCTGGTTTGGGGTTTTTTCCGTCATGCTGCTGCTCACCGACATAGCCTCTCCTGTGCGTCCACGCCATTGCATGCGGGCTGGGTCTGGCCTGTGTGCTGAGCAGCCAGCTGTCCTCAGTAAGTGCAGCTGCGCAGCCCTTCCCCGCCCAGGTAGCCATGCTAAGTCCCGAAACGTACGCAGGAAGGCAGTCCGGGTTTTGCTTGTCTTTGTAAGGTCATAGCACTTGCAAGTGCCCCATGAGCATGCTCAGAAACACTGCATGTGTCTCCCCCGCGGTGTAAGGGCCGCGATGTGGCAGAGTGCGTAACGCTTGCTAGGACAGGTACACAGTGCACTGGCTCCCTGCAAACTCCTGTTGGGTTTGATACAGGTCTTCTGCTGCTTCATTTGCAGTTGTGTTGTCTAGTTGGGAAGTCGGGGTCTGAAATCTGGAGTCGGGTGGGGAGGCACTGTTCAGCCCCTGGCTTGGGAAAGGAGCTTGTTGCCATACCCTCAGTGGCATCTCCTTTGTCAAAACACAGCCAAGATGTGAAATTAGAATCGTAGTTCTTTATTTAAAAATTCTAATAAATACTCAAACTTTGAAAAGCTTTTGCTTTTCCCTCCCACTAGAAGAATCTAATGTATCTGTTTGGCCTGTATCGTGTAGTTTTCAGCATTTGGGGGGTGTCAGTTGGTGAATTTAAATTTTGCTATCCCCTCAGTTCGCATCTTTTCTCCGAGTCTTAAACACAGAACCGCCGGCAGTGTCCTTCGTACCGTCCCCTCTGGGAAAGGAGCTCTATCCCCAAGGAAGGGTCCAGCCGATAGAGACAGCAGATGGATTGTCTAACTCACGGTTCACGTCCTCCTCGAAGACGGACACAGACACTGCTGCTTACGGCCTGACTTCGGGCATTGGAGGTTCTGTTGAGATACCTGCAGGGACATGAAATAAGTTCAGCCAACCACTGTGTGGAATCCCAGAAGCACCTTCTCCAAGTGCTCCTCCCTTTGGGAGGTGGATGGAGGTGCTTTTCCAGAGCAGTCGGTGCCTGGGAACGAACGGCAGCATATAGTGACTGGGGTCCGTGGTCTGGGCAGGCTTCTGGGCGAGAACAGCACTGTCCTGCGAAGCCCAGCTCGGGTTGGTGGTGGTGTCTTTGGGCCAGGAAGGTGGGCTGTGCCAAGGAATATTGCTCAGCGACATGAGTGGGTGCTGTGAACTCAGTTAACGAGAGAGCGTGCGCTGTTTGCATGACTGACCGCAGGAGGCTTTGTCCAGCGGTGTTGTCCGTGTGGCACCGGGGTTCTGATGAGCAGGGACTAGTGTGGCCCCCGGCACTGCGAACACTGGCTGCCGTGACTGCACTCACAGTCCTTTTGTGTTATCTCCCCAGAGAAAGGAAGGGAGAAACAAGAAACCACAGAAAGTGCCCTACTTGCAAAATTCTTTATTGACACCAGTTTGCCATTAGTTCTGCCGATAGAAACAGGTGTGTGTGTCCAGGGCAGAGACCACCTCTCTCACAGGGAGTCTGCATGCTCTGGATTCTGGCATCGCCTGAGCGTCCAGCCGAGGCCACACCCTCAGGATGGAGAAGGGTAGTAGTGGGTCTTTAAATTCACATTTGTGTTTAGTTTGTAGATTGCAGCCATTGGGGAAACACAAGTGAGGTCATGCCATCCTCATGGACCAGGATGTGTGTGTGTGTGTGTGTGTGTGTGTGAAAGAGAGAGAGAGAGAGAGCTACTCTCAGGAGTCAGATGTGTGAGTTTTTTTTTTAATGTTTTCATTTTTTAGAGAGAGAGAGAGAGAGAGAGAGAGAAGCCTGGGTGTGAGAAGCATGTGTTGGATTGTTGGTGGCCTTCCCGAGCAGGGCAGCAAATGAGACAGGAGTCGAGCTTTCTCACAGCAGACGTACAGGACGGACACATTAATGAATTGACTTGTTTTTACAAGTGTCTGCTGCCCGGTGCCCTGCATAGAGAGGGCTCCGTCACTGAGTCTGAGCTGAGCCCTGGGGAGGGTCAAAGCGGTGCGGTGCTGCCCCCCTCGCATGGCATGCAGTGCCTGGGCCGCGGCTCCGGCCGTGGGGCGTGCTGTGGGCGTAGGGCACTGGGCCTGACTCCCCAGCCTCTGGGGAGCGGGGTCACTGCCCTCTGAGAGTGTTTGCAGCGGTTTTGTAAACATGTTGCTACAGAGTCAAGTTCCTTCATGGCAAAAAAAATACTTTCTGTTCTGCTTTGGAGTCAGCCCTGTGCGTTCTCAGTCTTGTTTGGAAGAAAAGGTTCCAGGAAGGACCGTCCTCCTCCCTCTCCCCCCCTTTCTCTTCTCCACGGACAGTGTCGTGGAGGCCTGGCCTCTGCCGGAGGACTGGCCGTCTCCTGTGGGGCTTGTGTGCGTGGCGAGGGCCGTGCTGGACTCGCTCCCGTTTCCATCTGGCCTAGAGTCGCTAGCACCGCGGCGGCCTCCCCACCTGATCTCTTTTTTAAACAGCTTAGCCTGAGCCACGTTTTTTTAGTTTACAGGAAGGATTTCATAACAATGTGATTTTGCCACAACTGTGATTTGTAATGTCCTGAAGTGCTCTGTAAGCCTGTCGCAGTTGAGAGTAGGTTTAGAATTAGAAGAGATGCCTGCAGAACCTCCAGTGGGATGCAGTTCTGCCTTAAGAGAAATGAGGGTTAGCGACCATTGACGAGATAGCGTCAGCCTGGGCACGACTGCATTGCAGAAAGTAACCCACATTGACCAGAAACAGTGGAGACATCAGGACAGTTAGGTCAGCAGCTCCTGGGCGGGGACACCATGTAATGGCGGTGAACCGTGCAGACACTTCTCTAGTTCTTACTCTTGAAGATGAGGAGGCCGGAACTGCGGCGGTGAGGTCACACGGCCTGGCCAGTCGCTTCCTGTGCGTCCTGCTGGGTGGCACCTCCTTCCCGGCTGCAGAGGCCGCTCCATCGGGCACCGCCTGGCTCGGAGCAGAGGGGACAGCGGCCCAGGGCCTGCCTCTCGCGGTCAGAGCTGTGCTCCGTGACACTTGAGATGTCACTGAAACAGTGGGACATGGAGATTGTCAGGTAGATTGTAAACGGAAGCACTGACTGCAGCCTGTCAGGAGCCCACTGTCCGAGTCGGGTCAGCTGCGGTCACAGCCTTGGGGCCCGGGGACTAGGCAGACTCCTCCACTCCTGCCTCGCGGCAGCGGCGCTTTCCCACCACGTTCTCGCCTGAGCTGATGCCCTTTCAAGGATGGGAGAGGCCTAAGCAGGACACCTGAGAAAATGACACCTCTCACCTTCAGATTAATCACATCATCTGTCCTCCAAGTCCCCTTAAAAATTAATAAAGAGAGAAGCAAAAATCCCATTGGGGTTGGTTCGGACAGGCTCCTTGTGCTGAGGCGAGTGGTCACCCGTGTGGTGCATCTGCAATGTGAAGTTTTCTAAGTAAAAAGGCATGTCTGCCTCTCCGAGGCTTCGCAATCGATCATTCACAGTGGCAATCAGCGAGCTTGAGCTTGTCTCAGAGTGAGACTGCTGGGCAGGGAGCTGCGGTTCGCTCAGAACCCAGCGTGCCCGGAGGCTGTGCTGGAGAGGAAATGAGATGGCGGGCTGTTCCTCCAGCAGTCAGTTGTTTCTGTGATTGCTCTAGGTTTCGTTCGGTTTACATTCCATTCTTAACCCCAAAGGGGCCATCAGAACACCAAAGGAGGCATTTAAAACCCTGGAGGTGGCCTTTAAAAGATACAGTAAAGCAGTGTTGTCGCTCCCTGGGCTCATCAGCCAGCCCAGAGGGAAGGTTTTGTTAATCATTGAGTTGAAGAGCTTTAAGACTGGTTCTGGAACAATTACATACTAAATTGCTTGCCATCTGTGGGTGTACCTGTGAGCGAACATCTTGACAGTCCAGTAAAACCACTCTGGGCTTGAGGTCCCATTTAGGTCAGAATCTTAAGTCTTTGTAATTCCTTAGGAAAACGCAAGATGCCCGATCCGATCCCGCTGCCGGCCGCCGCCTCCCCTCCGCTGTCCGGCAGGTGGGCGCAGCAGCTCACCTGCAGGAAGCGGTGTCCCACGCTTTCCTGGAAACCCCACGTAACTAACGCTGATGCGAGCCCGCCCGCTGAGCACTTTGTGCTGAACTGAAATGTCCCCTGACGCGGCTGCAGGCCCAGGCAGCCTCTTTGGTGTCCTGTTGAAAAAGGCCTCTCAGGCTCACTGGCACAGGACCCGAGAAGACATCTAGTTCTGGTTACTTGACTCCAGCAGCATAACAGACGTGACTTAACGCTGGGGAAGGTCGAGGCTCATTGTAGAGACACTGGGAGCCAGGACGGGTCTGCTCCACAGGAGCCTCCCGGGCAGAGGGGCAGTGAGGCCGTGGCAGCTTCCAGCGCTGAGTTCCAGAGGACTCCGGGGGCTTCTGCTCAGCCAGCAGGCAGGAGAGAGGGAAGGATCCCCACGGACATGGCAGAGGCTAGGCCACAGTGCAACCTGCCCGTCACCTTCCCACACGCTCAGAACCCGAGAGGCTCCCTCCAAATTCAAATTTGCTTCGGTGTCTGGTTTAGCCTGAGAACGTCACTCTTCGCTTCCGCCCGTGGGTGGACATGTGTGGACGCTGCTCAGGGCACAGCTGCATACGTGAGGCCAGGGCCAGGGGCCTAGTGTTGAGTTTAGCAGTTAGCCAATTAGAGTCGGTAACTCTATTGTAAAAGAAATACAGTATGTGGTGCGGTGTTGTAAATGTCAGGTCTGTATTTATTGTTTTGTGGTCTGAAAACTTTCAAACTGGTTTATAATCAAAAGGTTGGTGGTTAAAATAAGTAAAATGTCAGTACATCCAAGTACCAGTGTGCCCCGTGTGTGAGGACGTTCAGAGCATTGGAGGGTGTTGGGAGCTGTTATAAAAGTAAAGCAAGTGTCGGGCCTACCCAAGTGTGTTACTCCCAGAGAGCTTAGGCGCATCTTCATACTCGCTCTTGCCGGCCCAGCCTTTATTTCAAGGACTTTGTCTTCCGTCCCATCCAGTGAACGTGGTAGGGCGGGCTCTGAGGAGTAGGCAAGCCCTCGCCCTGTTTGCTCAGCTGCAGGGTTTGGTCTCCAAACAGCATAAGGTTTATTTAAGGTGATTCCTCACTAGGGTCACCTCCACTCCTTCATCTGCCCTGGACCATTCCAGCTCTAAAACACGAGGTTCGCATGCTTCCAAACCCTGCGGCGAGTTCATAAAGGTATTTCCAGGGAACCCTTTGGATTGAGGCCAAGCACCCAGGATGTATTGAGTTTGATTTTTTCCAAAGGACAGAAGTCTTAGTTGCTTCCCCGTGGTGTTCATCCATGTAACGGAGGCTCAAATGGCCAAGTCCAGTCAAGTCTCCAGAACTGAGAACCAGGGGCCTGTGTACCCAGGGGCCAGCTCCTGGGATCACCAGGCTCCTGGACGGTTCTGGTCCCACCAGAACTCTGCCGCTGTTCCTGTGCGTCGGGGTCACTCAGAAGCCCACGTGTCAGCCTTCCCGCCATCAGGTCGCTCGGACCGCTCTACCAAGTGGGAGTGTGTACCGTTTAGGCAGTGTGCTCGGGTTTGTACAAAGGGGAGAAAGTGGAGAGATCGGCAGAAATAACCCCAGATGAGCTCGGCAGAACGGGAATCCAGGGACCGGCGCTTGTACAGGAGGAGGTCCTCTAACCTCCTGGGACCTGGTGCTGCATTGTGAGTCAGTCTGCACCCCAATCCTAATGCACTCACTCCAGGACTTACGTTCCACCCATGGCTATATGGCCTCGTTTTCTGTTCCTTTTGTTTCCAAACAACCTTGCTTGGTGTTGCATGGAAACAGGTTTTCCTCCCTGCCCACCTAGGCCGCCTGCCCAGGCCCAGGCCCGGCCTCTTCCCTGTGTCTTCACAGCACCCTGAGGAAGACAGTGCCCCCAGCAGCCGTGGGGAGGGGGCTGCGGTCCACAGACACAAAGGGAACGGAGCTTTCCTGTTTCCCTTTCTCAAGCAGGGTTGCTGGGGCACCTTCACACCTCTCCTTACGGTGCTGTTAGCTGTGGAGGAGGGGAAAGAAAGGGGAACAGGGACCAGCACCAGGTTTGGGTCTGAGAGGTGCACAGCAGAGGTGAGTCCCACGCCCCCCTGTAACAGCAGGCCAGCCACATGTAACCATTCCCCTTCTCCCCTCAAGCGTCGGCTTATGTGGTGCCAGCAAGAGGGCACACAAACCCCTCCCCGCGGCCCAGAGCTTTGGTAGTGCCCCCGAAACTCCACCCCACATCCCACTTCTTTCTGTACAAATGCTTAAACCTGTGAGCGCGCTATTCCTCTCTCTGTTAATCAGTTTTCTTCTCCATTTGAGCTGTGGGAGAGGGAAGGGCATTGGAATCGTAGGTTGTAATCTTGTGCCAACCAATAAAAACCAGTATTTCATGCACATCCATGCTGGGTGTTGTGTCTTCTTTCTAGAGGTTTTCCTTGAGTCCTTCGCATCCGTCTCTGCTGGGTTTGGGGGCGTTGCCCCAGAGCTCACCTCTATCCCCGTGGATGGTTTGCTGTCCAGGGAGTCGAGGTGAGGGCTGGATCGGAGACCCCGGGGCAGACTGGCAATGCCCGTGCTGCAGGCAGGGATGAGCCACATCCCAGATAACTGGGGAGCATGAGAGAAGTGGCCCCCCGTGGAATCAGGAGGTGGGGGTGGGGGCTGTGGGGGGCTATGGGGGGCTGGGGTGGTGGTTGCAGACATGCGGTAGTAGGACCTCCAGGCAGAGGACAACCAGGGGCCATCGGGGGGGACAGCAGCAGTAAGTGCGCTGGGTCTCCAAGGCCTGAGGACAAGTGAGCATTTGAGCTGTAATGAGGAGTGAAGTGCAAGGAGGCCAAGTTACAGAGACCACGAGAGCCAGGCCAGGGAGTCTGGCTCCACACAGGTGATGACTTTTTAAAAAAATATATATCAGTCAAGAGCATGTAACTTGGTTGTGGGCACATCCCCAGTAGGGAGTGTGCAGGAGGCGGCTGATCGATGTTTCTAACTCTCCATCCCTCTCCCTTACTCTCTGTAAAAAAACAATAAAATATTTTTTTAAAAAAAGAGAGAGAGAGAAACATTGATATGAGAGAAACACTTCGATTGGTTGACTCCTGACCAGAGCCCGGGCCAGGGAGGAGCCTGCAACCGAGGTATGTGTCCTGACCAGAATCAAACCCGGGGCCCTTTGGTCCGCAGGCTGACACCCTACCCACTGAGCCAAACCGGCTAGGGCTAAATTTTATAGATTGATTTTAGAAAGAGAAACATCAATTTTTGTTCCACTTATTTATGCACTCACTGGTTGATCTTATGTGTGCCCTGATTGGGGATCGAACCCCCATATCAGGACGACACTAACCAGCTGAGCTACCCACATGGCCAGGTGAAGCCTTGAACAAGACAGCCATGTAGAATCAGCCACGGTTGAGGAGGCGATACAGGTTCAGTGAGTGGACGTGGGGGGCAGTAGAAGCAAGAAAAAGCAGCATGTCAATCAGGTAGACACACTCTCACCGAGGCAGGCTGGCCACTGGCTCCACGGCACAGCCAGGCGGCGCACCCACAGGCCGCGGTGGTCAGTGTGCCAAGTGTCACTCTCCGGATGGACCACGCTCCCAGGAGCCTGACTCCTGAGGGAGGACAATCGGCTTTTTTGATGATAAATGTCAACCAAGTTACCTGGTGAGTGCACCGGCTGCCTGTGTAGGCACCAGCAGTGGGCAAGAAGCTGGTTACTGAACAATAACAGCCTGGGGACACGATGCCACACGGACCCACCCCTATCAGGGGCCAGGTACTTTCCCCATAACGCTCTGACTCCCAGGCCTCCTTGTCTGCAGGCCTCCTGTGATGCTCACCCCTCCCGCCATCACGGGCTGCTTTCTTTTGCCAGATTTAGGTGTGTCATGAGGCTGTGAGCTTAGGCATGCTGTGATGCAGTGATCCTCAGGAAACCACCACAGGCCACCTCTGCTTGGGAGCTGGGGTTCCAGACACTCCATTTGCTCATGTCAGATCACAATGGGCCATTCTACAGGCGGCCCTCACGTTTACTACACTCACAGAGGGTACATGCAAGCTGGGGTCACCTTGCTGCAGCCCAGTCTCCCAGGAGCCGGCAAGACTTGTGGCTAGAGAGACATCTACAGAGGCCCCCAAACTTTGAGCATGGGTGACAAGAGAAACATCCCAGAGAACTAGGTGCAGCTGTGATGTTGCTGGAACTAGCACTGGAAATTGGGCCACAGTGTGCATTGCACTGGCTAGGCCCCCCTCATGCTGGGTGGCAGCTCTGACCCTCCACACCATATGGAATTGGCAGAATTGCGCTCCTACCCAGGCCAGGCTGGCTCCCTCCTCTCCCAAGGCCTGGCACCATGCCCAAGAAAGCCTGGTGTTTAAACCATGGACTTGTTTGCTTTCTGGTTTCAGACACGTTTGGGGTGTGAAAGATTTATCTCCTTGGTCTTATGACACCCAGCTAACATCTCAGCATCTGAGGATGCAGCCAGGAGGCTCCAGGTTCTATGTCCTGCATAGCAGCAAATGTGCTAAACCCAGAACACAGGCTCACGGGCACCGCCTTGGGCGACAGATGGCATGAAATGGGAGAGGCGACAGCTGAGGAGGTAGCCATTGAAGGTGAGGCGACAGGGAATGCTGGAGAGAGCTCAGGCAGGGGGACCATGGAAAGGTGGGATGGAGTAAGGGATTCAGAAAAGGCAGGAAGGACAGTCATTCAACAATGCCGCTTGATAAAATAAAAACATTTTCAAAGAGGCTGCTCGCTTGCTATAATAGAAGGTGTGAATGTTGGAATTAGACCAGGTCTCAGCTTAGTTGTCGAGCTCTGATCTAGGACAAGTGACCATCCCTGTTCCCGCCTGTTCAGTGGGGAGTCCTACTCTGCAGCCCTGAATTGTGAGTGTGAAGCAAAGAAGTGTGTGATCGCCTGGTGGCTGTGAGTGACACCTGCGGGGAAACGCCCAGGGCTGTGCTAAATCACTAAATTAACCAGGTACCTGCCACGGTATTTTGAATTTAATTTAAAAAGGTTCACCGCTTGTGTCTATAGACGCTTATGGCGTACAAATGGTTAAAGAAATAGTCACAACAGGCACACATAGTCACAATGCAATGTGACAAGTGCAATGAGAGAAGGCTGAGGGCCCCTGTGCGGTTTCATGCGGGAGGAAGGCATTTGAGGCAAAGGGCCAGCATGTGCAAGGGCAAGGCACTGTGCTGGGCAGCAGCCAGTTTGCTGGGGCTGGAACAGGATGGCAATAGTGGGCGGGGGGGCTGCCTGGGTTCAAACTCTCAGCTCCACCATGTTGGCACTATGGCCTTGGGCATATTGCCTCTTTTCTCTGTGGCTCAGTTCCCTTCTCAATAAGATGGGGCCAACTGATTGTCAGGACTTCTGTGTGACTGGGAAGCTGACAAAGGTTTTAAACAGAGCATGACTGTATCTGGGCATCTGGGGAAGACAACACTGCTGTCCACCGAGTCCCAGGCCTTCATGCCAGGTGATGTGTGACGGCTTCACATTCAGTCTCCGCAGTCCTGTGACACATAGGGCCTGTGGTCAGCACCACTGCGTGGGAAAGACATGGAGACTGAGGAAAGCAGCTACTTTGTTGTCGAGCCAGTCCCAGTTCCCCTGATCACTGGCCCCACGTTGGGCGCCATATGTGCTGAGCCAGCACGGCCAAGGGTGAACCCGAGAGGGGGCAGTGAAGGATGGCAAAGACAGACAAGAGAATACAGCTGTGTGCTAGGTGAGATGCTGCCCTCTCTGATGGAGAGACCGTGCCCCAGCCTGCAAGCCGAGTATTTATTTGTTTATTTTTTTAAATATATTTTATTGATTTTTTACAGAGAGATTCCGTGAGGCAAAGTAAGGGCGTGAATGTTTCCAACATTCTCGTGTGTTTCGAATCTACTCAATTACATGCACCTGCACCTCCCACAGCCCATATCACTCAGCCACGTGGGACCACAGGTTCAGACCATAAGGTCAAGCTTACAACTATACGGCCTTTGGCTATAATTGTGCTGGGACTTGCACGTGGCTTTGCCACGAGAGGATTGTGCCCTCTCATTAGTCCCAGGCTTGAACCTGTCCAAACACTGTAGCCGCTCTCCACACTTTGTAAAGGTATTAGGAGAACTAATATTTTTAAAAGAAATTTTATTAATTTTTAGAGAGAGGGAGAGAGAGAGAAACATCAGCGGCCTCCTCTACCAGGGATCGAGCCTGCAACCTGGGTATGTGACCGGGAATCCAACAGGCAGCCTCTTGGTGCACAGGCCGAAGCTCAACCACTGCGCACACCTGCCAGGGCTAAGAGAACTAGTTTTAAAAATCCTCTGCTTCTGCTTCTTCCTCTTCTTTTGGAAGAGTTGGAATAGGATTGATGTTAATGCCTCTTTAAATGTTTGGTAGAATTGGCTAGTAAAGCCATCTAGCCCTGGACTTTTCTTTGTTGGGAGGTGGTGTGTGTGTTTTTAATCCTCACTAAATGATATGTTTTTATTGATTTTGAGAGGGAGGGGAGGAAGGAGGAAGAAACATTGATCAGTTGCCTCCGGTAGGTGCCCCGATGGGGAATCAAACCTGTAACCTTCTGGTGTAGGGGATGACACTTCAACTAACAACCTGGCTGGGATGTTGGAGGCTTTTTGATTATTGGTCCAGTTTTCTTACCATAGTTTTGTTAAGAGTTTCTATTTCTTCTTGAGTCCATTTTCAAAATTTGCGTGTTTTTAGGAATTTGTTTATTTCATCCAAATTCTCACATTGCCATACAGTTATTCATAGTGTTCTCTTATACTCCCTTTAATTTCTGTGAAGTCAACAGTAGTGTGCCAACCTTCATTTGTGATTTTAGTTATTTGCATCTTCTATTTTTTAAAATTTATCTTTATTGTTTAAAGTATCACAGATGTTCCGTTTGTTTTTCCTATTAACGCCCTCCACCCCACACCCACCCTTCCCAGGTCTTCACCACTCTATTGTCTGTGTCCATGGACTATGCATATATGCATATAAGTTCCCCAGTTAATCACTATGCATGCCCCCTCCAACCCCTTCCCTCTGAAATTCATCAGGCTGTTCCATGCTTCTGTGTGTCTGTATCTATTTTGTTCATTAGATTCCACATATGAGATCATATGACACTTACCTTTCTCCAATTGGCTTATTTCGCTTAGCATAATACTCTTCAGGTCCATCCATGCTGTTGCAAATGGTAAAAGTTCTTTCTTTTTTACAGCAGCATAGTATTCCATTGTGTAGATGTACCACAGTTTTTTTTATCCACCACCTGTTGATATTTTACAGAGAGGAAGGGAAAGGGATAGAGAGTTAGAAATATCGATGTGAGAGAAACATCGATCAGCTGCCTCCT